GGTGGTAAGGCATCCACTCTGTGACTGGAATATGAAAGAAAATATGAAATGTGACAGACTCAGATATTCCTAGAGCGATAACCAAAAGTCAAACCAAACCCATCGCTGTTGAGTCGATTTTGACTCCTGGTGACCACATAAGACATAGCAGAACTACTTCCAAGTAGCGGCTGGTGGATTTGAACTGCCAGCCTTTCGGTTAGCAGCCAAGTTCTTAACCACTGCACCACCAGGGCTACTCCTAAAGAGAAGGAGGGCATATATCCATTTTTATACCTGAACCACTCACTGATCCCATCTATGTGTGGTTGGGATCAGACTCCTGCCTTAGGGCTATGTGTCACCCGGTTCAGATTTGCTTTTACAGTTTTTACGTAATAGCGAACTTAAAGCCTTCGGTACCACAGGTGATGAAAACTTAGGTAAGCAGAGATATCTGAGAAGATGGAGGACTGGCTTGGGCTCCTGTAGGTGTTAAACTTTAGAATAGCATTTATTTATTTTTTTTAATTTTCCAGTGCAATTCTTTTGGGACTAATTGTTCAGGTATAAAATAGCACAATTTACATAGTTGAGGTCTTCCAGTCTCATATAAGCATTCATAGTGGTTAGAAAAGCAGTAAAAAAAAAAAAAGAAAATTCCCTCCATAAGGAATTCAACAATGGCATCTCCTGCAGTGCAACAGGTACGTGGAGAAGGGATAAAGAAAGAACTCTGTTTTCTCTTTCGTAAGGTTTTCTTCAGAAGTAAATTGCCACCCTAACGATCCAGTAGCTTTGCTAGGGCATCAATGCTTCCTGTTTGCATTTTGATCATATGCAGAGAGAGGGAATGTGTAAAATCAAAAGGTTGTAGAAAGTGCAGGACTTTTTTTGAATTTGTACTAAAAGGCAGAGACATTCGAATATGTGAATAGGATAATGTGCCACTTCTTGGCAGTGCAAACTGTTTCCTGGGAAGAAGATATAGAATCCTGGAAAGAGTTACCTGTTCCTAAGTGGCTGTGTAAATTATTCATCACAGGTATTCACCTGGGTTTATTACATACAAACCCATTCCTTTACTTTCTTAGGAGAAAATCTTTCTAGTCAAATGTTTTCTTGAATGTGGTGGGCATCCCCAACAAGGCAAGGAGGAGGGAAGAAAGGAGAGAAGGAATAAAGGGAAAACGAGAGGAAAGTGGTCTTTACTAGTGTTCGTTATACATTAGGCATTGTGCTAAAAAGTGTTCATATACATTGTTTCAAGGAGCCCTGGTGGCACAGGGGTTAAGTGCTCGGTTGCTAACAGAAAGGCCGGCAGTTCAAACCCACCAGCTGCTCTGAGGGAGAAAGATGTGGCAGTCTGCTTCAGTAAAGATTTCAGCCTTGGAAACCTTATCGGCAGTTCTACTCTGTCCTACAGGGTCGCTATGAGTTGGAGTCAACTTGACGGCAGTGAGTTATACATTATTTCATACGTTAAGATTCATTAGCATTAAACGATAGAAATTGAATTACTGAAAAAATCAATAGCTTGGATAAGGGCAAAATAATTCAAGGAAGGCAGAAAGAATGATAAGCAGGCAGAAGGACTTTCTAAAGTCTCTAAAAAGTCTTAAGCCTTAAACAGTGGTTAGTAGCAGAGGCAATATTTAAGTGCAAGAAGTACTATTCATATTTCATGACAAGGTAAAAAGTAATGAGATCACATTAGACAAGTCAGCTTGAGAAAATTCTATATTACTGTGGTCATGGTCCTGCAGTTTAGTCACTTTTCCAGGAATGTCGAAAACATTAGTCTTTTAACAATTTAGTAGAATAAAGTTTTAGACATGGTATTTATTCATAAGCTGAATAGGCAAGCAATTCATTGTTTCAAATCTTTAATTTTTACATCTGACTTTCTTGTGGAAACATATAGTAATGAAGGAAAGACCAGACTTACCATTTAATTCTGTTACAATTAGTGTATCTGTACGTACTCACATTGATAAGTTTAAAAAAATGGCACTTGAAAAATATAGCTTTGAAAATATTATTTTATGCATTAGCTTTCCACAGATAATCAATCTGAAGGCGGTGAAAGATATAGGCATTGAAAAGTTTAAACTGGATGACAGATGCCACGTCCAAGCAACTTGCCAACTATACTACAGCGAATGATGATACTTAAATGGAATTTAGTTAAAACTACTATTTGATGAACTCATCAAATAGTCATGTAACGTGCCCCTGCTCTGTGTTGGGTGTATAAAGAATACAAATATGAACTTATTATGTGTTTCAAAGAACTTTATCCTAGTTCTTAGAGCTGATTGACGAATTAAAGTGACGTTCCTGAATGCTGAAAGGGAAGGGAGTTGCGCTCCACCACACTGTGGTTTTACATTAAAAGGACTGAGATTGACTTCTACACTCTTACGAAAGTGGGAGTGTAGATGGTTAATAACATCGAAGTAACTAAACCAGGAACACAAAGAAATTTGCATCTAAACCTGAAAATGCACCTTTGTTATGCAGTTGCCTTTAGGATAAGAGTATTGTCTTTTTTTTTTTTTTTGCCATTTTTATTAAGGTGAAATCATTTTTATTTCTCTTAGCTTTACTCCCTAAGAAATAAAGTCATATAGAAAACAAATAAACAAAAATTCTTTCGGATCTCTTGTTTTTTAATGAGCATGCTGAAAGTAATTAGGAGATTTCTTATTTCTCCCATAATTTTCTTCTGCAGTGGTGCTTACCTAGTCAACAGGTGGCAAAAAAGGAATGGCAAGTAACCAAAAAGCTTGGTAGCAAAAGAAGGGAAAATCGGTCTCCTCTTACCTTTTTCCTGTGAGAATGCTAGGAGGAACAGGACAGAATATGCTATGTGCATATTAAAGACCAGTTGCCAAATCATGCAGTCAATTCACTCATGGCGACCCCATGTGGTGTAAATGTTAACACAATTGGCTGCTAACTGAAAAGGTTGGAGGGTTGCGTCCACCCAGAGGTATCTTGAAAGAAAGACCTGGCAATCTACTTCTGAAAAATCGGTCATCGAAAACTCTATGGAGTACATTTACACTCCGACACACATGCGGTCCCCATGTACAAACTAGAAACCCCTATTTTTAGCTTTTATTTGTTAAAAATGTTTGAGAATCAGTTGTATACATTTGAGAAATTTTTGGAAAATTTCTGCCTTCCAGAATTTTGGGCAAATTTTGGATGCAAATGTTTTGAAGAAACGAGCTTTCAGGAATAACTATGTCAATGTTGTAAACAGCAGCCATGGCATTATCTGGCAAAGACTCTAAAGGCAGTGTGGGAGTGTTTCTACTATATGATGTATAAGTATGCATATCCTGGACTTAAAGACGGCTCCTTCCCCCATCTTTAGTTCTGTTGCTAAAATATGTCCTATCAGACAGTTAGGCCATTAGTTCTGTGTACATGGGATAGGACCACAGAGTAGGAAGGATTAGAATAAAATTGCCTTGGAATTTCCACTTGGAAGTTGTTGGAAAAAACTTTTCATTTCAAATCATACTTTGCATTTAGGTAGTGTTTTTCTTCTAATGTACATTTAAAAGATTAGCCTAATGGGTATACATGTTACATTCCAAATTTATATATAAGTGATAGAATACCGATTTTTATATGCAAAATGAACATACTGACCCCTGACAAGGAGAGCATGGGTGAGAGTTGTTTTTCTTGTAGCGAAGTCGGCTTGCTTTCCTAAAGCTCCCAAACCACCTGCCCCTCAGCCCTCTCTGTCACTCACTCACCAGAACTTGTTAGAGAGTTGTTGCTGCCTATTTTGTGTTGCAAAGGGCTCTGAGGTGCTCAGGACGTGCACTTGCTGTTCACAAAGAAGTGAGGGTAGCCCAGCTTTGGCCTCTACCCCACTTCTGAATTAGTTGTTCTGGCAGGTGAGGTGCTTCTCAAGGCTTCATGACTGACTGAAGAGGATGATTCTACCAGATCATAAAAATAAGAAAAAACAGTTTCCATTGAGTGGATTCTAACTCATGAAGACCTCAATTGTGTCAGAGTGGAGCTTGCCTAGAGTAGAACTGTGCTCCATAGGGTTTTCAATGGCTGATTTTTTCATGATTTGATCACCAGGCCTTTCTTCCGAGACACCTCTGAGTAGACTTGAACCTCCACACTTTCAGTTAGCACCTGAGAATGTTAGACAATTATATCACCCAGGGACCCCACCAGATCATTAAAAAAACAAAAAACAAAACAAAAAAAACCAAACCTGTTGCCATTGAGTCTATTCCGACTCATAGAGGTCCTTAAATGGTTCTTCCTCCTTAAAATAACATCAACATTAAAAAAAAAAAATCAAATCTAGGTGAAAAGAATAGAACATATGAATAAAGCTACTTTCAAGTAATAACCTCCAGCCCCACAAGGTAATATCTCTTCATCAATTCCAATCTGATTACGTATTCTGAACTCATTTGAGGAAGAAGTGCATGTATTGTCTAACAGATGTCTATTCTTTCTAGGCACATAAGAAGGATCAATTATAGTAAGTTCAATAATAAGCTTCTTTCTTCTTCTTTTAATTTCAAGTCCTAGAATAAAGTAAGAATTTACTAAATGTTGGTGGAATAATTTGAATGAAGGAAAGTAAAAGAAAATAGTGATCACTTAAGCTGATTATATGGCACAGTAGTTAAGCATTTGGCTGCTAACCAAGAGGTCAGCAGTTCAAATCCACCAGCTTCTCCTTGGAAACCCTATGGGGCAGTTCTATTCTGTCCTATAGGGTCACTATGAGTTGCTATGAGTAGAATCCTATGAACTTACAAATAAAGGTTAAGATAAATGTGAAAGATTATAAATATTTCATCTTTGACTCTTCTATGTCTTTCATTAGTTTTTTATGAAAATACATATAAAATATAGAATTTTTGTCTATTATCTAACAAAATTCCCTGAGTTTTTGCTTTTCTGAAGGAAATGCTTGATTGCTCTGAATATGGAAATGGATCTTGCCCAGAAAATGAAAGGTCACTGGCTGTCCGAGCTGCCATGTATGTATTTATGGCTGGAGCCATATTCATCACAGTGTTTGGCAATCTTGCCATGATAATTTCCATTTCCTACTTCAAGCAGCTTCACACACCAGCTAACCTCCTCATCCTCTCTATGGCCATCACTGATTTTCTCTTGGGATTCACCATCATGCCATATAGTATGATCAGATCTGTGGAGAATTGCTGGTATTTTGGGCTTACATTTTGCAAGATTCATTATAGTTTTGACCTGATGCTTAGCATAACATCCATTTTCCATCTTTGTTCAGTGGCCATTGATAGATTTTATGCTATCTGTTACCCTTTACGTTATGCCACCAAAATGACCTTTCCAGTCGTTAAACGGTTGCTGCTTCTCTGCTGGTCAATACCCGGAGCATTTGCATTCGGGGTGGTCTTCTCGGAGGCCTACGCGGATGGAATAGAAGGTTATGATGTCTTGGTTGCTTGCTCCAGTTCCTGCCCCGTGATGTTCAACAAGCTGTGGGGGACCACTTTGTTTATGGCAGGTTTCTTCACTCCTGGGTCTGTGATGGTGGGAATTTATGGCAAAATTTTTGCAGTATCTGGAAAACATGCTCGCATAATCAATAACTTGTCAGAAAATCAAAATAATCAGAAGAGGAAAGACAAAAAAGCAGCAAAAACTTTAGGAATAGTGATGGGTGTTTTCTTATTATGTTGGTTTCCCTGTTTCTTTACAATTTTACTGGATCCCTTTTTGAACTTTTCTACTCCTGTAGTTTTCTTTGATGCCCTGACGTGGTTTGGCTATTTTAACTCCACATGTAATCCCTTAATATATGGTTTCTTCTATCCCTGGTTTCGCAGAGCACTTAAGTACATTTTGCTAGGTAAAATTTGCAGCTCACATTTCCATAATGCTAATTTGTTTTCTCAAAAAGAAAATGAATAGATTTATTGTGTATGAGTGAATCGAAGCAAAAAGACTGGAGCTTAGAAGAATAAAATTGTTCAAAATGTGCATATATTTGTGTGTTTGTGTATGTGTGTGAAAGAGAGAGAGAGAGTTTGACTAGCATAAAAAACTTTTAGGTTTTAAGACTGGAGGGAAAAAAGAAATCTTCTCCTTGTACCAAAAACCCCTCCAGTTTTTATCAGAATGCTTCATACAACCACTGTTTCAGGTAGAGGAAAAAGAAAGAAAAACACAAGTAAGGAGAAGGTGGGAAATTGGATGGGAAAAAGACAAGAATGGAATGAAGAGGACACACAAAAACTTCAGTACTATTCAGAAGGAATCAAAATACAAACTGAGCTTGGGGAATGTTCCTCCACCTCAAAACCACACACACTTTGTGTGACATTTCCATTTACTTTTTGATCCTCAATGTCTGATTGGATGTATTTTGGAACATCAACAACTAAAAAATATAGGGAAGTCAATATGAAAATAAAAATCTCAAAAAGCCATATTCTGTCAGACATCAGTCATTGGCTAGCTGAGAATTAAGCCTTTGCTAGATTTTACAATTGTGAGAGTAAACGTTTTCTTTTAAATGAAAGAAGAAAGTGATTTAGGAGATAATATTGGAGCCATTGTTCCCTGTCCTAAAATGTGACCCAGCTGGAGCTGGACCCACAAGGGCTCACAAGGACACATCAACTGGGCCCTGAGATATAGAGACAATAGCTAGGACAATCTTGGAAAACATCTTTTAGGGAATGTTTCACATAAACTAATAAAACAGAGCACTAATGACCCATATACTTTCCACTCTTATCTTTTTTTTATTAGCCTTTAGTGAATAGTAAGATTTTTGCCCAATTAAGACCCTACTGACAGTCGTTACTGAAACCTGTACCAATGATTATTAAGAAAGACAATTCAAATGTAGAATCACAGAGATTTAGCAGTTTCTAGCCAACCTGTGAAAAGGTGAAGCTTTCAATGGTTTCGCCCTTTTGTAATGTTAATATATACTGATGATTATATAATGTTCCTCAGTCTCTGGCCAGCATGGCTGTGGCAGCATGCTTGTCTGTTTTCTCACTCTTGCTTATTCTGTAATATTCCTTTGACTTGGGCAGACATGGCTCTAACATCATTCTTGTCTGTTTCCAACTTTTGCCTTTTTGAATATATGCCAAATAAAACTTTTCTTTTTGCTTTACTAAACTTGGTGATGTTTGTACCCTGCAACAAAAGGGAAAGCTGTGCAACTGAGGATATAGATTCCACACAAATTTTCATTAATGTATCTTCTTAATCATAGCAGTTGGCAATTTTCTATTTTAGGAAGCCAGAGAATTCTATATAGTACCCTCCTTTCTGCCTCGGACTCCTCCATACTGTGTACTGCTTTTTGATGTTCTGATTTTTAAGAAAAGTAAAGTATCTATCAAAAACAAAATGTGTTCAGAACCCATCATTACTTTTTGCTTAATATTTATACATATATTTTTGAATAATAGAGTAGTAGTGTTGTTGTTAGGTGCCATTGAATCAGTTCTAACTAATATCGACCCTACAGGACAGAGTAGAACTGTCCCATAGGGTTTCCAAGGAGCAGCTGGTAGATTTGAACCACTGACCTTTTGGTTAGCAGGCAAGCTCTTAACTACTATGCCACCGGGGCTCTGGTTAGAGTAGTGGTAGGAAGGTGCAAAGAAAAAAACTAATAGTTATGGGGGCCTCTGGGTATTAGAAGGAGCCCTGGTGGCGCAGTGATTAGGTGCTCAATGGTTTGAAACCACCAGCTGCTCTGTGGGAGAAAGATGTGGCAGTCTGTTTCGTAAAGCTTATAGCCCTGGACCCCTATGGGGCAGTTCTACTTAGTCCTATAGGGTCTCTATGAGTCGGAATTGACTCTACAGGACCGAGTCTGGTTTTTTCAGGTTCTGAGTACTAGAAGCTTTATATCTGCTGTTTAGTGTCTTCTATAACTGTAAGCTGAGACTCAATTAATAGCTTGTGAAATTAGTGAATCAATATAGTGAGTTACAATGAGTAGTGTGCTGGTAAAAGTTGTTTAACAGCTAGCTCTCAAAAAAAAAAAAAAAAAAAGCCATGAATTGCAGAGTTTGACAATCTCAGTGTATAAAAAAAGTAAAATAAAATTCCATTATAGCTGTTTTCCAGCTATTGGTGTAATATCAACTAGCTCTCAAAATTCCTGAAAATTCTCACAAGTGGGTGTAAGTAGTTCCAGCGTACCACTACGCTTTTAACAAAAATCAAGCTAGAATAAAAGAAAATAGATAGAAAATTACAATGAGGGTAAGTATTGCCTTATGACGTTTTTATTTTATATATATATATAAAACCAAAAAAAAAAAAAAGTTGCAGTTGAGTTGATTCAGACTCATAGTGATCCTATAAGACAGGGTAGAACTGCCCCATAGGGCTTTCAAGGAGTGGCTGGTGGATTTGAACTGCCAACTTTTTGGTTAGCAACTGAACGCTTAACCACTGCACCACCAGGGCTCTGTGTGTATATATATATATGTATATATATATATACACACACACACACACACACACACACAATTCTATATTACTGTGGTCATGGTCCTGCAGTTTAGTCACTTTCTCCAGAATGTCGAAAACATTAGTCTTTTAACAATTTAGTAGAATAAACAAAGTTTTAGACATGGTATTTATTCATAAGCTGAATAGGCAGGCAATTCTTCGTGTTTCAAATCTGTTAGTTGCTGTCCAGATAATTCTGACTCGTGGTGACCTCATACCCCATGTATGCAGAGTAGAAATGCTCCATAGGGTTTTCAAGGCTGTGACCTTTTGAAAACAGATTGCCAGGCCTACCTTCCAAGGCACCTCTGGGAGGATTCAAACTGCCAACTTTTGGCTAGTAGTCAAGTGCTTAACCATTTGTGCCACCCAGGAACTATATATAGTTACACACAGAGATAGGTGTGTGTGTTCATGTACGTAAATGAACTATGTTCTACTGAAATATTTTTTAATTTTTTTAAATTTACATTATACCAAAGAACAAATTAACATTTTTTAAAAATCTTTGTGGACAGTTTACTCACTTACCCACAAACATGTTGTGATCTTAGTTCATTACACAGCATGCAGTTAAACAGTAACAACTGAGCAGTCAGCTGAAGCATTAGTCATGCTGAGCTGCCCAAAGATGGGCCTGACACATGTTCTGATCTTGTCTGACACTCCATCCCTGCTGGCCTCATGATAAGTTGGTTCCTCGTTATAATCTATACCCTATATGGTATAGGCAGAATAGGTAGAACTTCTTTGAAATGGCCCAGGAGACCGCAGGTACAAAAGAAAAAATGGAAAAATTGGTTTTCCAAAAAGAAAGTAATTAACACCAAGTGCAGTTATGAGAATTAATCTAGTATGTTGGATACTACTGAGTTTATGCAGTAATTTAATTGACTTATATGATAGTGCTTATGCTGGTTTTGACATTTATACACACACACACTTTCTGCACTTTCTGTTTTAAAATATCAATTGATTTAAAAAAATTAGTAAGATAGATTTTAACCTTACTTTAAAGTAGAATTATTTTGAATGTACATATTTTTAATTTGCCTAACAATTTGTTTACATATGACTTTAGAAAATAAAACTGAATATGTTGGTGCAAGGTTACCCCTTGTCATTTGTTGGAAAGGAGTTTATGACTGTGCTACCTTGTACAGAATGATGATGTTTCTGATGGTGGTTTTTCGTTTATGTGGGTGCTTACAGGCAAAATATGTGGGCCATTAAGTTTCTTACAATACTTCTTCTGTCTCCATATTAGAATTCTATACATATTTTAAAGCATAATGCAAATAGCCCCTTTGTAAAGATCAGTTATTCTCACTGAAACAGATAATTTCCTCTGTACCTTTCACAGCACTTTTTAATTTCAGAATGTAGTTTCCCGACTTGTTTGCTAGTAAAGGAAATGGAATAATCCAATCTCCTGTGCACTTGCTGTACTTGCTGCCTCACACCATTCAACCTGCTGTCATTTCCCTGGGTTAGTAAAATATCCGTTCTCTCTCTATACTCAGAATTTTATAAGAAGTTAGAGATGAAAAAAAATGAGGTTGAAGAGATTAAGTGATTTGCTCTATATTAGACAACCAATTTTAGAAACAGAACTAGAACCAAGCTCTCCTGACTTCTTTTTTGATGGTTCTTTGCTTCCTGGGCCTGGGCCTTCAAGACATGTGTCACATTAACTGGATTTTTTTTTTTTTAAGCCAAGGGTTTTAGTCAAATTGGTACAAATCACTGAAACAAAAATAAATGTCTTCCTTCCACCCCAATATCTTCTCATTACATTTGAGAAACAAATTATAAATATGATGCAAATTGTAATTTATGATTCAGATAATTATTCCTCCTTTGGATATGAACCAGCATTGAATTTAGCCTGCATGTGTCTATTTATTTTTAATATTCTAAAGTTAATATTCCAAAAGGTTAATGTCCCAGAATTAAGCCCAAATGACCATGAAATCAGATGTGAAATTGTTGTCCTTCATTTGGAAAAGAAGAAATTAAAACTATCTGGGGCACTAAAACACACAGAATATTTCAATATCCCTCTGGAAAGAGAGTTAAAAGAGCAAGTCCACTGGGTTTCTGCAGTTAATTCCTCTCTTGGAGCCCCTGAATTTGAGTTCTCTACTCTAGTTCTCTTGAGAGCAGAAACAAACTTATATGTGTCAGATCCTCCACACTAAACTTTCCTGAATTTCCTGTCCTCAAACCTGCAAAGCCACCACAAAAGACTCAATGACTCACAACCAACTTTTCAGGAGAGGGAAGGCACTGCGTCAATAAAAAGAATTGGAAATGTACTACCTTTTTTTTTTTCTGCATTTATTTTCTTCTTCAAAATAATTGATTAGCACCACATAGACACATCCAAACTCCCTGAGGGACTGAATTGCTGGGCGGAGGGCTGTAGGGACCATGGTCTCGGGGAACATCTAGCTCAATTGGCATGACACAGCTTATAAAGGCAATGCTCTACATTCTACCTTGGTGAGTAGTGTCT